TTTTAAATAAACAAGCAAATAAATATAATGTTCTCTTCTGACTCTTACATGCTTGCATATAATTTCATGGAAGTAAGTCAGGTTGTTCTGGTTCCTTCTATTTTACCCCAACTACTGATACTATCCTCATCTTAGGAAGCACACTATGGCTTTCCTTAAAATATTGCTGCCAGATCCTTATACCCTCTTTGGATACTCGTAGCATTTTCTAAGGCAAACTTAATCCATCATAGTCAAAATATTCATTCATTCAAGAATGGATTAAGTACAACAGTGAAATAAAATTGGTCACAATTAAAACAAGCTCAAGTCTTGACAACTGACCAATTCTTTCTTTTTTCATCAAAACACAGAACTGTGAAACTGAAGAGAAATGTATGGTATTTTAATATGTCCAGCTGTAGAGAAGGACTGAAGAAATATTTTAAAAAATCACTAAGTACAAGTGGAGATACCCATCTGCTTGCTTTTCTGACATGCAGATTTTATGTGGACATAAGTCCCAGTGGTTTCCTTGGAACTCCCTCCTACACAACCATGTGTAGAGTTACTCTGTGTAACGTAGGCAACTAGCTCTCCCTGAGTTTCAGAGGTGATTGTGCTGGGATTGCTTTTCACTGTCTTTTATGATACTCTCTATAGAACACAATACAAAATCTTTTTCTTTCTTTCACTCTGACTAGCTCATTTGGGAGAGCTTTTGTTCCTTTGATTCAACACCTGGTTTTAGAAATTCTGTAGAAAATGTGCACTTTTTTGTTTCCTGTGTAAATGTTGGAGGAAGGAGCCATAAAAACCCAAATACTGACAGCATGGAGACTATCAAGACATACTGCTCAACAACTTGGTGACCTACTTTTTTATTAGGGTAATTGCATTTTGAAGACATGTCACCATTTTGTTTGAGAAGCTACCATTGCAGAATGTCAGCAAATATACAGCTGATCAGCAAAGACGTTTCTGAATGTCTACAAAGATTGGCAGAATCATGTAGGGGGATCTGGTCACAATAGTCAAAAATAAAACCTAAGAAAAAGAGAAAGTGGGGTGCAATACAAGTAGGTACAAGAACATATATCTGGCTAAGAAGAGAACATTTATTTCAAATAAAAATCACTCAGAATGGATAACTAGAATTGCCAATAGTGACATAGAACAGCTGAAGCGATGATGATGATGGCGATGATGATGATAATGATGATAGCGATACTGGGCAGTAATAATGATAATAATGCTGGGCAAGTAGAAGTTAAAAATTGTGAAAGCCATGTTTAATATAACACAGAATTAGTGGGGTTCAGTTTTAGAGGCCATCAATTTCTGAGGCCATCAGCAGTAAACAGTGGAGGATAGTGGCTAAGGTGTTGGACTGAGATTAAAGCAACACAGCTTTAGGTCCCTAACTAGAGCTCACTCTGTGATTTTGGTTCAGTCCCATGCTTCAGCTCAATCTATCTGACAAGGCTGTTGTTCTGGACACAAAATGACAGAAGACTCATTATAATGTAATGATAATGATGATATAATAACTGCAATATTAATATAATTACTTTATCAATTAGCTATTGGAAGAGAAAGCTGTTCCAAACAGGAAGCATGCTCTTAAAATGTCAAACTGCTCTCTGAATTTTCTTTTTGAGTTTCTGTCTTGTTGTTTTGCTTAGTGCCCTGCAGGAAAAAAATCTCTTGCATCTTTTTCTGCCCATTTATGAAAGAGAATTTGCTTTTCAAATTTCTTTCAAAGGTGAAGAGAATCTTGGTGAATTACTCACATGTGGATGGAATCTGCTGTTCTTACACTTGCTTAGTTATGAAGGAGAAGGAGAATGTATGTCCTGTCTTCCATTGCCAATCATCTTTCCAGTAGTGTGTAGACTTGCTTCCCATGCCTCATTTAAATTTTAAGGTAAAACACTATGAATGTCTCTTACATAGTTTTTCAAATTGGGAAAACAAACTACAGCAACAAGGAAAACTTCAAAACAATGGATAGTTGCGTAAACAAAAAGAGCAGCAGTAATATCCTCAAATCGTTTCAACAATAAATTCAAAAACAAATTTTAAAAAATCTCAAGCACCCTGAGAATAATATAAATAGAAGCCTCTTTCAGCTGGAAGAAATTTATGAAAATTTGTCAAGATTTCAGCACACTTTTTGTTTTGCTTTGAAATATAGACCCCTAATTATTTGATCCCAATACTCTTCCTTCATATTTCCTAAATCTGCTCGTGAATTCCCCTTGGATTGATGCTGGACTGATTACTGGAATGCCATGGAATCATTCTTTCAGTGGTCTGGAATACCGTTGAGAGCTAAGGTCAAGTTTGCAATCGATAAACATTCACATAAGAAGGCTGCACAATCCATTCCATAAATGCCATATTGATTCTTTTTAGTCATCCTAACTGCACAACATGGAAGAAACTATATGAGGAAATGATGATAGAAAAGCATCTCTGTGTTGACAGTCACTTGGTCTCAAGTTTTGTACTGATAAAATATATTCCTAGAGCAATTGTGATAACCACACCATATCTCTATGGTGTATCCAAATCCATGAACCTTTCTTTAGAATGTCAAACTTTTTTGTAACAATGCCAAGGATTAAAAGATTAAGAAGCAAAAGAATATTTGGCTTCATACTCAGTCCCATCCTAGAATTTTCTTTAGATTAGTAAGAGACTATTACAAGCATCAGGTGCAACACGTTTCTAAATCCAGCTTTCAGAATAATGACTGACAATTATTGTTCTCCTTCCATTATGCATCACTACCGTATTACCCATATGCCAATTCTAATCTACATAATTTTCACTGACAGAAATTCATTATGTCAAGTTACTATCAGATATCCTCTGTTGAAAAAGAAACAGTTACACTTTAACATATTTTGGAAAGTGAACATTTTGCAGAAATAGAACTAACGTTTGCTTTGCATCAGAAGGACATTGAATGTATTATCATTCAGACACATTTACAAGGTTGAAAATATTCATGTTTCACAGTATAAAGCAGGGTTTCTCAGCCTTAGCAGCTTTAAGATGTGTGGACTTCAACTCCCAGAATGCTGGCTGGGGAGTTCTGGGAGTTGAAGTCCACACATCTTAAAGCTGCTAGGGTTGAGACACCCTGGTATAAAGGCTATATCCATACAAATGGAAAAACATTTTCTGGACCGACAGTCTATTGCTGATCTTTACTTGACATAAAACATGTAATTGGTTCAAGTTAGTCATGTTCTATTGATTCTTATTTAAAAGGGTTAAAATCTTGCTTAACCCTTTTTAAAATTGAATTGCCCTACATTTAGATCATGCTAACAAATTAACTGCTGCACATATTAAACAAAGATATGGACTTTGTTTCTTTGATTTTGACTTGGCATATTGTGTGAATTCAGTCATTGTGGTTTGTAAACTATGGATTATGGCTTAGCAAAACATATGAGTCAATTGTGGTTTATTCAATAAACAGTAATAAACCACACTATAAAATACCACAAAATGTGAACCCAACTTTAATCTAGGCCTAAGCATAACTGGTCATCAAACATTCCATTTGGAAAGCACCTTTAATTCTAGGGTTCTTTCAAACTTCCCCACTATGTCTTTCACTATTTAATGTTATCACCAAGAAGTAAGTCAAAATGTAAGAAAAATGTTTCAAATATATTTTGAAAAATCATATACCAGTCAGTATTTATTTTTTGGCAGCCAAGTTTGTCACAACAGTTTTTGCAACTGCTTAATCTCTTCAAATCAAGTGCCTCCAAAGTTGTTTTTTTGGGGTGTGTGTGTGAGAGAATATGATTAAGAAACTACCAAAGCTATACTCAGCCAGGTAATTGCAACTGCAGTTCTCCTTAATTTTCATTTTGTTGAGTGTGCACTACTAGACAATATTCAGTTCTGTACTATCACTGTTTCTTTAAACCTTTTATTTTCTTTTATATAACTGGCTACTTTATCAGTCAGCTTCTTGTGACATATTCATGAACTCCTCTTCACTCATTACTTTCCAACAATAAGCAGCAAATTACCCAATTTATTTTTGTTTTTATACTTTTTTTTAGTTGTTTTTCATAATTTTTTAAGTTATTCCAAAATAACATTTGATAGAATGAGAACTTTTGGAGAAAAATTCAGTTTTAGGGAAGATGGTTGAAAGCTTTTCAACTATAACAGAAGGGGCTTTCTATTAAAATAGACAGTGATGTTTTCTGTAGAACAGTATCTCCACCCTACAGTAGTTTTCCTGGATGCTCAATGTATTCAGAAGTAGTAGCAGTCAGCAACGAGCTGGGCTGCCTTGTTCTCCAACTGTATGTTGTTAGCATGAGTATCACCTCATTCAAAACGTGATGTGGGTAGGTGTTGGCAGCTTATAGAGACTATTTGAGACTTACATTATGTTCACTCAGTAGTGTAGGAGCAACAACACTATTTATATCATTGGTTAATTTTCTAGCGGGTTTTTAATTATTACCAACTTTACCATCTTTAGAAAATGAACTGCTTGGTGTCACACCCAGCAAATATTCAACATTGTCTTTGCAGATCCTATTTTATCCATGTTACTGATCATATTCTATCCATAGATGCTCAAATGGTGGCATGAGATCTGCATACAACCCACTAACATCTTTTATATGGTCCCTAGAACCTGATTTTGCACTGTGAGGGTTGGGAAGGTAGAGAGCAAAATGTGTTCCTTCACCCTTTAAAATACTTGAAGCCCCTTCCTGAAATGAACCCTGGCTTGACAATAAACAAAGCCAGATGTGGTCCTTGAATCAATAGAGTTGTGCATTATTGTTCTAGTCCTTCAACTTTTTTTCCCCCACATTCCACTGTAAGGCAAACCTCAAACTCAGCAAATGACGATATTTCCACTGTGAAAGACAATCGGTTCTCAATTAACCTCTCTTTCCTTACCATTCTGACTTAGCAAGCTTAAAAGAAAGTCTGAAAAAACACAATGAAAAATGAACAATACTTACAACCATACCGTTTAGGGACACCCAGCAATCTTGTGGGAAATCTTGAAGCAATGGGACCAAGAACTGAAGGCAACCATCCCAATGGCAAAGTAGCAGCATCATTCCAATGAGATTGAAGATTCTCACCACAGCACTGGCTAGATCGTAGGTCATGTGGAAAATCTGCAGATAAAATTACAGACAGTATGTTTCATTTATTTATTTAATTTCTATAACTGCCCATCTCAACCAAGTGACTCTGGGTGGTGAATAATTCTAAAACAATAAAACAATTCAAAACAATACAAAATAAAAATATATAGCAGCCAAGATCATAATAATTATCAATATAGCCAAGAGACAGAGTCCTTAACACATTCAGGGCCCCAGGCCCGAGCACATAGCCAGGTCTTTAAAGCCCTACAAAAGGCCAACAGGTCAGGGTCATCCTAATCTCTGAAGGGAGGATGTTCCAAAGGGCAGGGGCTACGGCAGAGAAGGCACGTCTCCTGGTCCCTGCCAGCTGACATTCCTTGGCTGATGGGACCCGCAGCATGCCCAACCTGCTGGACCAAATTGGATGGGTAGAAACTATTGGGAACTATTTGATGTTGTCATCAAAACCAAGATTTTACCACTGAGTTATGCCTCATTAAGGAAAAACCAATAGCAGAGTGATCAGTCCAAATCCTATAGAGTAGTGCCATTCATGTTCTGGAAAAAACATCCTTAGAAGCTGATCAAAACTGGGAATGAAGGACCATTATTTTAGAAAGACAGTAACATATTGGGCAAATTTGTGGCTATCCACTTTGTTTATATGAGTTTATCCTAACATCCAGGAGTGTCCAGATACCTTCAATTAATATACAGTATAACCTCAAACAAGGGCCAGTAAATTATCATTACAACCTTTACTGATTTTTCTTCCACAGATTCACTTTTTAGTTTTACATTTTTAAACTGAATATAAGCTAATAATTTATGATATGGATTTCATCATAATTTGTTGAGTGATTACAATCCTAACACCCCAAAGTAGCTGAAGCATGCCTTGGGTTACACTAAATACAAAAGAATCAGCAGGATTTACATTAAAAAAAATAACATATTTTATCACAATGAAACATAATTACAAGAGGGTCCTCTCATAGTTCATCAGAAAATATTTTTGCAGGAATCATTTGATCATGAGAACGTTATTCTATTGGAATGGTCTGATTAAGATTTGTTTGATCAGTTGTCAGAATGTACGTTTTCCCAGTGATGTCTCCCTATGAAATGTAGATGGCCAAATAAAGCTAGATATATTGGAGAAAAACAATACTGTTATATTCTCTGATTGACATGAGCATTGCAAATCATTCTAAAGGATATTTACTTAAAAGTATTACTCAAATTATTTACTTCAAAAGCACTTCAACAAATATCACTGTAGTTTGGAAAACAACAATGTGCATGTTTATCTGTAAAGTTCATGTTCCTTTTCCTATCCTTCAACAAATTGTAACCACCCATCTTTTTAGCTAAGGGAAAAGGCAAAGTTATTGGAAAACAATAGACTGCAGTATGAGTCAGTGACTGAGAAAAAAAAATCAGTCACAGACAGGGTCACAGAGAAAAAGAAGGAGAAAGAGAACTGAGTGAACGCCTGTAAGTTGGTGTGAAGTAATTTAAAAATGAGCTTAGTATGGAAGAACCATTAAGGAGGGACTTGGAAAAGTAATTATACAGTCCAGAGGTTGAAGCAAGCATAAGAAAGAAACTCATGATTAATATAAGAGGGGTCAGGGAGAAACTTGGTCAGGCTTTCAAGATTCTGTTACTATACCCTCTTACAATAAAGTAGTATTCCTGGTTTTCCTGCAGACACAAGACATGAATGAATTGCTGTCCATGCCACCCTGGATTTCATTAAATTATTATTAGTATTCTGTGGATTCCCCATCCCACCCCCGATTCTCATCAGTTTGAAAGATGAACTACTTTTGAAATTTCTTTCAAAGGAGAAGAATTTTAGTGAAATTATCATGGCTGGAATGTGGTGTTCTTAGACATATTATGAGATGGATGAGGAGTGGACATTACCGTCTTTTATTGTATACAGTAGTCCTTGGTCACCGACCATTCGTTCAGTGACTGTTCAAAATTACAACGGCACTGAAAGGGAGACTTAGGACTGGTTCTCAAAGTTCTATCTGTCACAGCACCCCTGTGGTCACATGATCATGATCTGGGTGCTTGGCAACCAATTCGCACTTATGACAGTTGATGGTGGTGGACACATGATCATCTTTTGCAACCTTTCCTGCTGGCTTCCCACAAGCAAAGTCAATGGGGAAGCTGGCAGGGAAAGTTGCAAGTTTTTCTGGTAAGTCGTTCATACTCTCCCGCACCCAGCAGAAGCCACCCCCAGCCTCGCTGCCCTTGTACCACACTTCATGGGCCACTCGCGCACCCTCCCTGCCTGACAGCAGCCACTCCCAGTCCTACTGTGCTTGTGCCGTATACCGCGCCTTATCTGCCTGCTTGGCCTGCTTGCGAGCCACCTGGGACTCACTTAATGACCTGCGATCCTCACTTAATGATGACAATGTGACATGCTGGGATTGCTGTCCCTAAGCGATGTGATCACGTGACATTGCACTTTACAACCACATCACTTAGCAACAGAAATTCCAGTCCCAATTACTGTCATTAACCAAGGACTGCCTGTAATCTTCTCACCAGGAGACTGCAGTCTTCCTAGCTTACCACATTTCAGTTGAATCTAAAAGGAGGAGGACAGACGTAATATTAATTCCTCCCATGGGGAAGACCAGAGTAATGGAAAGTTGTGTAACAGAAAGTGTCAGTAGCACACTCTGCCTCTTCTAACAATACAAAAATACCACTCAGCAAAATTCAAAAGAAATTACCAATAATATAGAAATACAGGAGATTTTTTGTAGGGGAATATTTTGGCATAGTTATAAACTGTTATCTACAAAGATTAATACCATTTTTAGATGAAATATAATATAGTGTGAGCAAAAGTGATCCCTTCAAAAGAAATCAAGCTTGAATAAACACATCATGCTTTGACATTCCCACTATTCAGAAGTTTAGTTTAATTTTTTTTAAAAATAGGCTACAGTAGCTAACAATATACAAATACTTGTATATTGCCTGTAGTTGTTTAAAGTTTCTAGAGAAAATGCAGTATTTAATGCTAAGGAGAAGTTAATTTCTGAGAGTACCTACCCTCCTTGAGAAAAATTAAATATTTATATAGACTTCTCTTGATTATTCAGCACAGCATCAGCTTAGCTGGATTAACAACAAATATCCTGTTTGCTGGTGTGACAGTTGAATTATAAAATGAATAAGCCTGTAATGGATGGCATGAGCGGGGAAGATTCTGGAATGGAAGTTCAAGGTTGTCAGGAGGGGGAGAGACATTCCAGAGCAAGCGCCTCCTCAGCCCGTAACAAGAGTGTGGCAAGACGAAGAGGATGAGGCTGGCCCCTGCCTAGAGTCTCACTGGGTATATCCACTTCTCCATACTTCTCTGTCATGCTTTTATGGGAACGCAATAGGACCAGCGGCCCAGCTGTGGCTTGCTGGGCGGTCTGTCCGAGTCACTGCACCAGCTGCATCATTGTGGTCTGTAAATTGTTGATCTGTGTGTCCACTTGCTGTTGATGCTGTAGCAAGGCTGCTACCAGATGTTGCGGGGTTAATGGAGCTCCCTGGAGATCTGTAGCCATGCTCAAAATTTCCTCCCTCTCAATGGGAGCAGGAGTCTGGCGAGATTGATGTCAGGTTCAGCCCAAGAACAACAACGAGGTAATCCAGTACAGTTCAGTTCCTTTATTAGCTTGCACCTAATGGACAAAATCTCGCCAGACTAAACCTATGCTAAAGCAACTAGTGGATATACCCCGTGAGACTCCAGAGGGGCCAGCCTCATCCTTTTCCTCTTCCCACTCTTGTTGCGGGCTGAGGAGGCTCTTGCCCTGGAATATCTCTCCGCCTTCCTGACAACCTTGAACTTCCATTCCAGAATCTTCCCTGCTCATGCCATCCATTACAAAGCCTGACTTAATCGTTTGTTAAAACGGAACCTTTATTTAAAACTGAACCTTTAAAAACTGAACCTGCCATCCATCCACAGACATATACTTGCTCTCTGGAATATGAGATTTTTTCTTAAAAACTACAGGGTTAAGTTTGATACATTTTCTACTTGGAAAACTGTACAAAACACTTCAGAAATGTAGCACATGCATAGTTGTAATGAGACATTTCTTTTAATACATTTGAAAGAATAAAATAAGTTGTCATGCTATTAGAACCATTTATGTAAGCCTGTCACTCCTGCTAGCTGCAAATTCTGAGTGGTAGGACCCTCAAATCTAGAGGGTACCAAGTAGAGGAAGATGTTTGCATGTATCACTGATTAAGTTTTGAGATAATGTTAAATATAAATCTTACCTTGGTTTACAACTCTGTATTCAACATGACCTTTTAAACTGAGACTTTAAAATAAATCTACAAACTTTAGAAGCCATAAAGCTGCAAATACACTTCTTGGCATGCTAGCATTCCCTTGTTAGCCATTTGTGGCCTTAAGGGAAAATCAAGCCTTTGTAAATCCTCCCAGAGACTATTCTCATCCCTACAGGCAATAACTCATTCATGTACAAACCAACAATTTAACCCATCCAAGGAATCACATCCACATTTACTAGCAAATATAAGACAGGTGCTTGGGGTCACAAATGCCTTACAAAGGCAAACGGACTACACACGCCATTTAGCCTCTTTTTCTAAAGTTCACAAATCTTTTACCATCCAACAGCTATACATTAGTTAAAGTTGTTAACTAATGTTAGGCTGCTGGGGCTGATCTGACATTTCAGATTTGTACCTTCTTGGGGCCTTCAGGAGCTAGTGAAAGGTAGCGTTGTATGGCGTATCAATATTGCAAGTATTCCAATAAGGGTTTCTCAAAAGCAAGCGCTGCTGTTCTCAAACAGATTTTGAGGAAAGAAGGATCCTGTTCACTGAATCCACGGTATGCATGATGTTCCCTGCCAGAGAGGGAGATAAATGGGTTTTGTCCTGGCAAAAATTATGAAAAGAGTGATAGGGATGAGAAGAGACTCTTTCTGCATCCCCAGTTTACATTCTGTGGCTGA